TCAATTTCTCTCAATTTAAATATACTATTAAAGGAAAATCATATAAAAACAATTCGTGTTGATAATAATTCATGAAATAATATGAAAATAAATAAAATAAGAACCTAAAGAATTAGAAGAGAAATACCAACAAGAAAAAAGAAAACTGTAACTAAATGTATATAAGAAAACTGTAACTAAATTATTTATATAGGAAGAAATTATAATTTTTAAAATGAAAATTTATTAGATAATAATTCTTATCAATAATTTTTATATATTGTAATTCTCATATGTTGATGATTGTTATATGCAACATTGATTAATTTCAAAGAAGAGAAAATCATTAATTATCTATTAGTGATGAATTTTTTTATTAATAAAAAAATTATTTTATTATTTTAAAATATAAATGATACTTCTATACTTACATATGGGACTCACATTATCACGTGTATATTGAGTGAAAACAGTTTACAAATATTTCTTTCTACCGCCTACAAAAGCACTGTCCTTGCACAACGAAGTGGTTTGCTATTCCAATCCACTGACAAGATTTGATCTGAATTGAGTCCACGATCTTATCTACTGAAGGTTCCACATCTCTGAGGATAGCAGCACCACAGATATGCCAGAAAGTGATGATAAATAAAAGAAAAATGATTATTACAACCTCCGGTTGATTTGCCTTTTTCATTGGTAAAAACTTGTAAGAAGTGATAATAAATAAAAAGGACCATGCCTGATGCCACTCGCTGCTTCTCATTAGTAAAACCTTGCATACGTTGCCTAAAAGCAGTGCGAAGAGAACCAGACAAAACCGTTTGTAAATCCCACTAAGCAAATATCTTTTGTCCAGACTTGGTATGAGAATGAGCACTGCGGCAGTACACGGTTTAGCTCGTCCTCTTCCTGATTCCATGGTGGACAATTCAAGTTTCCTCCTTTGACTCGAATGCCTCTCCTTTCCAAATTCTTTTCTGTTGGCAGCCTGTCAAGAAACATTGTACAAGCGAAGAAGATTATTCTCCCCAGAGAAATTTATTCCATATTGCCTTGATAAAATCTGCATCTGGAATCTTTAGATTTGGGAACATCAAAACATAAGCCTTTTTTGATGTGTTTAATCCGTCTTTGTCAAACCTCCAAACTCTTTTATCCTCCTTTCCCATCATCACACTAACATTTGCAGTTAACTATAGCAATGCCTCCGTTACAGTCTACCAAAAATACTTATTCCTTCATTTTAAATTCCATGACTAGACCCCGAACTCCACCAAGCGACTCGATGGGCCGCACGCTTAGTTGGGAGAGGTGGGATGTTCACCAGATCTGGAAATCGAATCTCTCGTTACTAACAACTAATAAAAACTAATCTATTAACCATTATCCTTGTCAAAAAAAAAAAAAAATTTTCCATGACTAGACCCCATTACACCAACCCGCCATTTTCTAAATTGTTACATTATTTCCAAATGATAAATTTCTTATAAAAAATGTTTAGTACACACTCATTTAACAAACTTTTAATTTTAACACTCATCTTAATTCAATTATTAAAATATAATATAAATACGATTGATTCAATCAGTTTTTGCATCTAATTATATGAATAGTTATATTTTTAAGTTTATCTGTTTTTAATTTTAAATTAAAAAATAATAATTTTTTAATAAATATATTGTACAATATATTAAACTAAAATATTTTTCAATCAGTATATATTTCCAAGTCTTGAAAAGACTACAACTAAATGACGTGTTTGGTTGTGGGGAAACTTTGCTCCTTAAAGTTCTCTGAAATTTCTCTATTATAAGATTATTTATGTATTTTTACACATTAATGCTACAATAAAAAGAGGGTAAAATTGGTATTTTTAACTTTTATTTTATTTAATACAATTCTCAACCTCTAAAGTTTTCTTTCTATCTATTTGGAAAGGAAAAGGTTTCCCTATAACTATTTTCATATTAAATCCACTTAATAACTTTCTTTATATCAATTTTTCACCAAACACAATAAAATTAATAATTCAACAAAATTAAATTAATAATCTAACGAAATTTTAACAAAATTTTATTACAAAACTTAA